TCGATAAGATCAAAGTTGATTTTTACTATTACTATGTAATTGTTTTCAAGTTGACTTAGATTTTCAATTTCATACCTTCCAAGTAATTCGCACTTCAAGTGAAGAAATAATCAAGAATTCAAGACTGGGAGGTTTTTTTTGCAGTTTTGTTTGCTAATTGATAACAGAGTTTGCAGATCATACAATTTATTGGAGGTATTTTTTTTCTATTTTCTTTTCTTTAGACTAGCTTCTTGTTTAGGAGCAGAGTCAAAGGAGAATTTGCAAGAGATGATTTTTTATAAGTATGGCCTTTCCACATATTTTTAATTGAAATGACATAACGATCAATTCATATATGATTCATATGAGGATGGTAGCATTAAGCAGTAGATTTGGTAATTATTGGCAGATTTTTGATTTTTGATAATTACCAAATTTGGTTGGCACCGCACACTTGGGACCTCAATTAGAAATTTCCGGTCCTATTCACATTAATTAACAAAAGAAATTAACTCTGTTCTTTTAAAATAATAAATTAAATAAAATTTTATTTTATTTTTCAGCCTTGGTTTCAAGGAAATCATGATATATATTAATGTGTAAAGAGAAAAAACTTTATCAAAAAAAAAATATTAATGGAAGAAAAAAATATTTACAGTAATTATATATTTTTAAACCTGCAGATCCTTAATAATTAATCATGTATTTTTTTAAATAAAAATTATCAAATCATTCATATGTATATCTATTCATCTGTCAAGTTTTCGTCTTTTCTTAAAAGGTAAATGCTTAATTTCTTTTGATGCATTCTTTTTCCTACGTTTTTCAATAATGTTATCTAATTTCTTTTTATTATTATTAATTTTTTTATATTTATCAATTAATTCCAATTTATTTTCTTCGGCTGTTTGATTTTTTTATAAAATCATAATCATAATAATCAGATTTAGATATTATAATAATTAGAATAATATTATGATGGATCTTTATGAAAAAAATAACAAGTAAATAAATAACTTACCTCTTTTTAAGAAATAGGGATTCTTTCCTTTACCAACAAGTTCTAATTCTTTCTTCTTCCTCTCATTCTTTAGTTGTCTTTTATACCTATGATCTTGTTCTTTAATTAATTTTGACTTCTGTATAAACCAAACCCCCACAAAGAATAATTATTTATTTTGTATAGACATAATAATAATATTTGTTTTTTCAAAAAAATTAATTACCATTTTATCTAACAATTGTTGTAATTTTTGTTTTTCTTCAATATCCTTTTCTTTTTCAATTCTTTTAGAAATTTCATTAATCTCTGATTTTTTATATTCTTCTATAAATTCATAAGATTTTTCAAATAATCCTTCATTAAATTTTCCTGATAAATTGTCAAACCTTGGATCTCGATTTTTCTAATTTATCAATTAATAATAATAGTATTATTATTATTATTATTATAAATTGAAATGTGCTTATGATTACTGTTAAAATATTCCTTTTACCTTGATATTATTAGGAAGTTCAACAACTTGACGAAATCTTCCAACTGCTTTTTTGGATGTAATTTCCATTGGTCTTTCAATGAATAAAATAATATGTTATTAATATACATTTAATAAAATAAATTTAAAAAAATTTTTTTTTAAACATACCGATGTTTGCTTGATCTTTTTTTTGTTTCATAATTATTATCAAATCCTTGTTCTTCCTCTTTCTTTTGTAAATCTTTAAAGTCTTCCAAATTAACATCATCAATATCATCATCATCATCACTATAGCTATTGAATTGAGGTTTTTCTTCCATCATAATTTAATTTTCACGTAAAAATATTTGATCTGCGCATCAATTAAACAGCCAATGAGAGGATTTTTTATGGGTACAATGATGATCATTCAGGAGTTTGTCTTTTTAACCAACGTTTTGATGATTTCATAACATCGTTAATAGTAGTAATAGTAGTATATAGTAGTAGTATCAGCAACAACAATCCAAAAAATCATAATAATAATGCCACACAACTACCAGCACTATGTCATCATTATCGGCATTAATGTCATCTAATGAACTTACATTTCAATGTGCAATTCACGAAAAATGGACCTTGCTTCTTTTGTTCGTACGGTGATGTGCAAACTTGATTTTTTTTTCGCACAAGTGCGCACAGCGTGCGTAGTGTCAAATGAACATAGTGCACATGCATAGTGTATGTGTAGTAATAAAAATTTTCGCTTACTGTCCCACAAGGAAGTGCCCAAATATTAAAAAAGGATTACAAGAAAGAGCTATTACAAGTTTATAATGACAATGGATCCCATCGATTTTTTGAAAGATGGCTATAAGCATTCTGCATATTTTAACGAATAGTGACAATGTTAATATTCAGAACAATGACGACTCGGGCTAAATTTTTTATTTTCGTGGAGTATTATTAACAATGATGATAATAATACAATAATAATGATTCAATAGTGCATGGCAACAACAGTAATAATAATATAACAACAATTTTTGGTCAACGACAATAATAATAATAATAGTTCAATTAGCAACTATTAAGTTTAATAATAATAGTACTAATTTCAATAATAAAATTTGTTGTTGGACCATTATAATATTTTTTTGGTTTGCCTTTTACTTTTTCTTATGCATATATTAATATTTTTTCAAAATAATTAAATATATACGTCTTCACATGTGCTAATTTTCGGAGACTTGGATTAGATTAAAAATTTAATTTCACGTTTAAATCAACAAATTTTTTTTACTACAAGTATATATATATATATATGTATATTTTACTATCTAGTGCAGTTCCTGCACTTGTATTATTAAATAATCAATTAGAAGGCAATTCATCCTCTTCTTCTTCAAGTTCTGATTCCAAAGAGATTGAAATATTTGGTAAAATAATTGACAGAGAAGATTATTTAATCCTAAGATTAAAATATAATCCGATCCTGAATCATTCGTGCAACAAATGTTAATTCTATATACCCGAAAATTTGTACATGTGAAGACGCCCATAGTTATAATAAAATAAAATGAAGATCGATTGTTATTACATTTAAACTGGTCATTCTAGCTTATTATATATATAATTTCTATATTTTCATATAGGAAATTCTTGTCAATGACATTAAAAAGTAAAATTGGGGGGGTTTTTCAAAAAATAAATAAATGTTATTATCGGTTAACTTTTACTGGGTATGTCCAGTTTTAATTACTAGAATTTTCCAAATGCATCTTCAGCAAGACCAAAAATAAAAACAGTACAAGTAAATGTTTGACTTGTTGGAAACCTAGCCAAATCATTTAGAAAGGAGATTGCCTAAAGATAATAGGGATTTATTGTTGAAGAATGGGATAAAAATCCTCAGAAACCAGCACAAATTTTAATTAAATCTATGAATCTATTTTTATTTAGTAATTGTTAAGATATTCACGCGCCATTTTTTCGCAACACACTGTACAAGTGACTCTGGATATAAATACTACCGGACATAACGGCCACATAATAATAATAATAACGTTATATAAAACATATTTTGTTATAACGATAATTGGAATAAATTTTACTATGGTCCCGAGAATGTCGTTATATCCAGGATCACTTGTATATCAAATAAAAATATTGTTACACGCAAAGAAATCTAATTTTGGAAAAGTCTACGAAGGGTGTTTTACTCCCAACTTTTTTTTCAATGTTTTTTTGTATGAAAAAACTAAAACTCACAAAAATAATTAAAGAATCAAACATAAGGATAAAAGGTTATGCAAGTACTATCCAACTTCCTTTTCATCCACACTATGTCCCACCAGGTCAACCTAAAGTCACATCAACATCAACAACACCATCAAATATCATAATCATAATTAATAAGCGACAAAAATTATTATCAATAAATAAAAAAGTTTCAAGAACAACAATTTCTTCTCCTTCAGTAATACCAATATCGAATTTTAGTTTATATTATCAACAAAATTCACCAATAGGGATTGTTCCCTCAATTAATAAATTACAAGCAGTTGACGAAGCTATTACTAGCAAAGATTATTATTATGGATCTAATAATAGAAAAATCCCATTTTTGTTTAGATTATCTACTATATTTTTTATTTTCACAGGTTTAACAAAATTTTATAGTAAACGAGGAGAAAGTAAAAGTACTGTTAGCAGTAGTTCTGATGGTGATAGCATTAATAATGCTGGCGGTAACATTAATAATCTTAATAATATTAGTAATAATGTTAGTAGCAGTAGTAGTAGCAGTAGCAATAGCAGTAGCAATAGCAGTAGCAGTGGTGGGAGATGATGGATGACCTTATTTATGATATATACACCGGATACGAATATCATCATGATCAATTAAAAGTAAAAAAGTTTAATTTGTTAATATTTTTTAATTAATAAAAACACCATATATGTTGCTGCTGGTTTGGTTCATTACTAAGGAGTGAACTTGTTAGCGGCCATTATTATATTAAAGGTATAATGTATCTATATTATTTATTTATCTATTCATGATTATTTTTTTAGAAATTTGATATAACATATTATATACATATATATGTAATATTTCTAATTAAACTTTTTTTTTTGTATTTATGATGGGTTTTCTAGTTATAGATCTCTCACCAAATTGAGTTTTTGCATAATACAAATCTATATGATAAGGATTATAACTGGTGAAAAAAAAAACATAACATATTTTTCAGGGATCATCCATCACTCAATTACACTGTACCTCCCACCCTTTTCGCTAGAAAACTCCCTCATATATATCATTATATATATAAAATATTATTTAATGTTTGAGATGGATTTAACAATCACACATTAATTCATTCATACTTATAAATAATTACAATCATCCATATCAACATTCATTCAAAATATTTAAATATTCAATGAAATAAATGATTCTTTATTTTGAGAAATAAATATAATAAATCTAATAGGCTTTAAATCAAAAAATTAAGAAAATTTTTAAATTAATGCATTGTAAAAAAAATTTTTTATAAATTAATATTTTGGCTGTTTTCTTGGTGGTGTTGTATTACTGTTATTATATCCAGGTGAAAATGTTGAAAAATCAACTAGTTCACCTTCTTCAGGTCTATCAAGATCTGTATGTGGGCGGTAAATAATACTATTACCACTAGCATTGTTATTATTATATTCTCTATCATGAAAATCAATTCTACTAACTTTATCTCTATTATCATTATTATTCCAATCACGACCTCTATTGTTGTTATTGTTGTTACGACCACCACCACCTGAATAGCGATTATTATTATTTTCCCCACTTCCTCCAATTTTTTTATCTGAAATTCTGCATCCATTATTTCCAATTTCGTAATCACCATCTTCAATTTTATCATTTTCAGCACTATTATTGTTGTTGTTGTTGTTGTTGTTGTTAGGTGGTCCAAAACGATCTCTAATATCACTTGTACTCCAACTATCACGTCTAGTAGCTCCTTTCCGCTTATTATTGTTGTTGTTATTATTTGAGCGAGATCGGTCACTGTTTTGTTGTCTTGAATCATTATTATTACCATTATTAGTATGACTGCTATTAGTATTTGAATTACTATTATTGTAAAATGATCTGTTTGAATTTCTGGTATTATTATTATTACTACCAACAAATAATTGTTGTTGTTCTTTATCATTTTCCTGTTTTATTTTTGGTGTGCCTTTTGAAGAAATAATAGATTTAGAATTGGAAGACATGGACAAAGATATTTGCATAGACTCTTCTTGTTTTATTTTTGTTGTTGATATATTAGCAATATCGCTAGTATTAGTAGTGGAGGTATTAACAGCAATAATATTAGTAGCATTAGTTTTTGATGTAGATATTGATGAATCATATTGTAGTGGCAACGATGATGATATTGACAATGTTGATGTTGATTGTTGAATTTGAGTTGGTTCGATAGGTTTAAAAGTGTTTAAATCAATTTCAACCCGATCTTTAGTCATTGGTTTCTTTATAAATTTTATTTTAGAAGAGAAAATAATGATATTAATATTATTGAGTTTATGTGAAGAGGCAAAATAAATAATATTTACAAATATTGAACTGTTTCCATTGTTTTCTGATATCCACAGAAAACCACTCATATTTGGTTCTTCAGATTCCTTATACTGCATTGCATCCCTAACAAATAAATAAATTAGCACCATACTAATAATAATATTATTATTACAATAACTTACCAATCGACAATCTTAATTTTTCCATAGTGGCTATTTACAGTTAATTCCAGTTTATCATCATGGACTCTTGTCTCACTATGTATATAAGCATATATATATATATGTCAACAAATTTAATTAAATGAATTACAAAAAAAAATTATTCATAATTGTACTGATTGAATAGATTTACCCATTATAAATCTGAACAACATCTCCCTCCCTAAAATGTTGACCTTTATCCCAGATTACTAATGTACATGTTGCAGTTTCATCGGCTACTAGGAAACTATGTATCTCAACATCTGAATTGGTTTTTAGTGTACGTTTTGAAACTAATGTGTAATTATAATATTAGCATTAATTAATAATTCAAAGATCTTTGTAACTAATCTGTAAATTATTTGAGCCTCAATTATTCACCATCATTTAGTTTACTTACTAAGCTCTAACAGTATACATTTAATGTCAAACCCTCTAACCCAAGGCCTTAAATCTACTATTTTTATATCACCTGACACTATAATAGGTGCTGGTTTATTGATTTTATCAGATCTGCTAGATTGTCCATACCTATGTGGTGGTGGTTGTGGTAATGGATTAGACATTGTGCCCGTCGATGTCGTCATTGAGTATTTGTAACTGTTACCGCCGTTACTACTACTACTACTACTACTACTACCAACATTGTTATTGTTATTTTTATTGTCTAAATTCATACTATTACTATTATTATTATTATTATCTGAAATTTAAAATTTTATTATCACGTGTTTTGTGGAAATCGTCAAGTCAGATATACTATTACTATTACTATTACTATTGTATCCAACGTCCCAATGTCGCACGACTAATATGTTCGTTATAAAGAAGTTCAAAAGAATTTATTTTTTTTTATTTATTAGCCGCAATCATCTAAATGAAAAAATATAAAAATAAGATTTGTGAGACGATTAAAAAAAATATATAAACATCAGCGAAAGTTTTTTTCACAACATTTTCTTTTTTTTAAAAAAAAAATTATATATAAATATCAGCGAAGGTTTTTTTCACAACAACATTTTCTTTTTTTTTAAAAAAAATTATATATTTCTTATTCTCGTATGAAGAATGCCGTATAGAGGCCCATACTTGCTAAAGGGATGCATAGAGTGCAGGAGAAACAAAAAGAAATGCGAGGAAATCGGTGATGAAAGATGCAAAGCATGCAAGCTTAAAAATCGGACTTGCATTAGATATTGGATTCCAAAAAAAAGGGGGAGAAAAAGAAAAATTGGTAATTATTTTCTTTTTTTTATTTTATTTTATCAAGTAGATGAAAACACCATAAATTTTTTCAGAGAAATGAAATATCCACTCGAATTCGATTCATCAGACTCGGGTTGTATAAATAACAATAACAACAACGATGGTAATGAGAGGTTTTACACTGGATACAACAACTATAAGTTCGAATTTGATCCATCCTTGCCATCAGACTCAGATGTTCCTTTTTCTAACAATCCTATTACATGAGAAATTGATTAATATCTGTGAAAACTTTCAAACCTATTCTCAAGTAAGTTTAAATAAATTTATTATATACTAAATTATAGTAATATCCTGCTTAATAATTATTTTATTTTATATACATGTAGAAGTGTATTTAAAAATTATTCTGATAAACTCGATATTTTGTTGTTTTATAAATATTTTATTGAAAATTATGAAAGAAAATTTATATATAGTTATCATAATTTTCAAAAGAAAAATTTAACGTCTTATAAATACTGGCTTATTTATAAACGATTTTGTTATTTTTTGACTCGGCACATGATTTCAATTAAATATACATATCAATAATCTATTCATCCAATTTTTTTATTGTTATATGAACGTCGACTTTTATTACATCTTTAGAACCTTTTGTTTAGAAGAGATTTTAAATGGCCTTTTCAATAAGATATTTAGCTCCTAATTTAGTATGACCATTTTTATTAGCTTCTTTAAAAGGGTTTTATTATTTTTATAAATTTCTAATAAAGTAGACTATAAAATTATCCCAAATTATCCAAGCTTTATAAAAAAAACCAATTTTACCTGTTAATATCATCCTCTTCATTACATAATTCAAAGTTTTGGCGATAATGATGATCCTGAATGGATTAAAAACGATACATTGCTAAGCATTTGTTTTTTTTAGGAATTTATAAGTAAAATTTTTTCTAGGTTTGTATTTGAAACCATCTTCCTTTTTGAAATGTTAATTTTATTTGACATCCACAATGTACTGATATTCTGTTTCTACAATGTATTATGTACAAGCCAAAATTCACTGTCAGCGTCAGCTGGTATTTGACAAATCCGTCCATTATTATCCATGTCATCAATGATTCTTTCCCTCGGGAAGTGATACCCAAGAATCTTCAAGTCTTTTTAGATCTCCTCCACGAAAACTACATAGATATGAAGCCAGAAGGCTACTTTTTTGTAAAAGAGAGAGGTTCATTCAGATTTAATGATGAATGTTCTAAAATGTGTGATATTTCATTGCTTTTCTTATGCATAAGATTTTGTTCTTCTAACATTTTATTTTGTTTAACCGTGCCTGCCATAATTTTGAATATTAATGTATCTTATTTATCATATTATCGCACAAAATCCAACATATAATGAACGTGACTTATAAAAATTTCCATCTGTTTTCCTAACACCGACAATAAATATGCATAATTCCAATTACAATTGTTTTTATTTGTTATATCTTTAGTATATTCACCGCCAGTGCTGGAAATAGCACTTTAAAAATCCGGATTTTCCTTTAAAAATTTTTAACTTCTGGAAAAAAAGAGTTGTCGGATATTTTTCCTTTTTATTTTTTTTTATACAGGTTTTCATTCACATAAAAAAAATTTATATTAAATAATGTATACATATATGTGTGTCATTCAATATTTTAGAAAAGAACCATAATTTGTATCTTTTGAATTTTCAGAAGAAAAGTATTGACTTAATTTAAATCTTATTTCACTGCTATTAAACTATTAAATTTAAAAATATATACACTTAAATATATGAATTTATATGTATTTGTTTTCCCTTATTCAAAAAAATAAATTATAAATAAATAGTATAGAATAAGAAGGATTTGATTGACGTGTTTTCAGAAAAAACTAACGGAAGTGGTGATGGTAATGATGATGAGAGTAATAAATTGTCCAATCCTAACCCAAAGAATGAATGTAAGGTTGTCCCACTTAGTTCAACAGCTGAGATTCCTGTGGTTGCAGTCACAGAAACCGTACTTTCCAGAACATATTTTTTAGAGTATCTATTATTTTTAATAATTAATAAATTTTTCCCCTGCTGCCCCGTGAAGAAACGTTTCTTTATCTCTAACAACGAGGTCATATACTTGTTGCTGTCTCTTTATCAAACTTTCGGTAATAGTGGAAACTTGTTGGATCTTTGTATCATAAAAAAGTTAAAGATTCATTTTATAAGTAAAAAATAAAATTTATTAATAATTATCTTGTCTACAAGATTTGCAGACTCTTTGAATAAGCCCAGAATGATGACTTGAAGGTAGTTTATTAAAAGCAAACTTTATAATTTACATACATCTCGATTTTCTTGATTTTCACTAATAAATAAAACATAAAGTAAAAATTTTAATCATTCTTATTTAATAACTAGAATGACGACGATTACCACCACCATTCATATGATAAACATTTATTCATCGATTTTCGGAACAAATACTTTGCTTCTTTTTTGTTGTCATAATTATAAATTTTTATTTTTAAAAAGATAAACGCGTTAAAAAAAAGAATAAGATTATTATTGGCACTTGTGTTCTACAAAGATTTTTTTTTGAAAAACAATTATTTTTGACAAAGTCCAAAAATAACAAAATGTGGTTCTCCTAAAGAAGATGTGTTAATAACTAACTAGAAGTAACTATTTTTTAATTTGTATTGATATATGCCTCTTATTTTATAAATATTTTAATTGAAATCAAAACGTGGAACAGAACTCGCAGGGTAATTATAAGAGTCTCTTCAAGATGGTAAACGATTGGTATTTTGCTTTTCGTATCAATATTAATATTAATATAAATAAATAATTACAAGATGTCAAGACAGCACACCATTGAAAAAGAAACAAGTCGAGTATGAAACAAAATGTTTGATTATCGGAGATTGTCAGACATTGAAGCACACACGTTACCTTGAGCACTTTACAGTCATTCTCACTCGTTTCTCATGTACACAAGGCTAATCTGACTAGTGTGCCCCGATGATACAATGATGCAACCGAATTCCAGGGGTGACGTGGCCCTAGAGTTTACCAAGACTGCACTAACAGTCAATGACACTTTCCCTAAACTTCCATTACAGCACCAGAACAGAGAATGCTACTGGCATGCTAGCCGAAAAGTCACTTGCAACGACCCTATCTCTTGGGTAAGGATGGATCTGTGACCAGGTCGCAACTATGTATCAAAGTTGTGATATCGGGTGCACATAAACATTCAGATCCATCAAAGTAACAAGAATCTGCAACTTTTTTCAAACACAGGAGGTTACAATTCAGAGCAGGGCTGTAACCCTGAAATTGTAACCTCCTGAGTTGGAGAATTTTGAATCAGTTGCAGAAACAAACTTTATTCTAGTGAGAGACAAATAAATTATGCACTTGATGAAATGAAAAGGACCAAATAGCACTCTTAGTATGATTTTTGAATGGAATTAAGAAATTGAACAAGTGTGAAAAGCATTTAAAGATTACATGTGATAATGCTGGCGGACAAAATAAAAATAATGTGGCTATTTATTTTATTTATATTTAGTAATTTGTGGTTATTATGAAGCATTGAATTGAATTTCATGATTTCTGAGCATACCAAATTCAAATGTGATGGTAGTTTTGGCTTGACCAAAAAACTTTACAGAAAGACAAGGATAGATTATCTGGACCATATGGTTGATGTAAGGAAAAGATCTAGCCCAGCAGGATTAAATAAAACTCAATGTTATGAAGATTGGAAAGGTTTTCAACAATTGGATATTAAAACAATTTTGGGAATTTTCTTTAAAAAATTAAACGGTTTCAAAAGTTTCAGCATTTTTTATTTGAAGCAATTAAACCTGGAGTTGTCAGAGCTCAGATGATTGTTGTATTGAATTTAATTTGTTAAAAGCTTAAAAAACAAGTGTTCCAAAATTACCACAAAAATTAAATCTTTATCTATTTTCATACTTTGGATTATAAAAGGCAAGAATACCTTTATAACAATATTTGCCCAAGCATAGTGGAAATTTGAAATGTTACACTAATTTTTATATTGTGCAACGTAGCTTTACAATACAGGCAAATATTCTGGCAATAAAAAAGTAAGTGATAAACTGGATTTGAATTAGATCTGAACTTGATCTCCATTTTAGAGAGGAACACTATATACTGGTGAAGTTTCAGGAGCAATGAGTTCTGTATGACAATTCGTGTAACAACAAACTTCCACTATGCTATTTGCCCATTGTGAAAGATGAATACAAAGATATTACTTGTCCAAAACCAATATAAAATTTTTATGCACGTGTACTAAAATAATATATTATGGTAATAA